TCCCTTGCTCCAGACGGGGTGAGACCAGTGGAGTATCTTACATGGCCACTTACAGGCTTTTAAGACCCCAGACACTACACACCAAAGTAGGATGTAGAACATTTTCTTTATAAACTATGTAATGCCAGTTGAGCTAGATGTTCCCTGAGACCATGGTTCCCACAGCTCTCAACCTAGTAACTCCCTCAGGGAGTTTGGATGTGTCTATGGGGCTTCCATGACCTTGCCTTGGACAAGTTGTGCTGGCTTCCCCAATATTGTGTACTGTCTTACACAGTACTGGGAAAAGAAAATTCATTCAAAACCAAAACTGACTCTAGTTGCGTCTCTCTTCCAGTATGAACTGTCCACAGTCTCAGGGTACTAATCTTTAATTTCTTCCTCTGAAAGGGACCAGCTTGGACTCATAGCTATCAGATGAGCAGGAAGTCCAGGACCTCCCCAGAACCGCCTATAAACTCTGGGAGGCACCCTGTCTCTTGCACAGAGTTGAGGAAAAAAACAGGAAAATGACCCCATGTGTGTCAGAGTAGAACTTCCCTCCATAGGGTTTTCAATAGCCGATTTTTTGGAAGTAGATTACCAGGCCTATATTCCAAGGTGCCTCTGGGTGGACTTGAACTCGGTTAGCAGTCAAATACATTAATCCTTGCACCACCCAGGGACTGAGAAGAAGCCTGAATCCAGGTCTCTTGGCCATTTTTGTTGCTTCTCTCTGCCACACGGTGGTGCTGTTGGCAGCAGGTCTTACACAGTCTAACCACCAGGAGAATCCTCAGTTGTGTCAAGCCTTGCTCAGATGGCTGTGAACCTTCTACGGATGACAGCTCCAAAATGTCATGCCCAGCCAAGGGTGCCTCTTGTCCGGGTTCTGAGTCACAGCAGTTTCCACTCCAAGGTGCTAAGTCAGGATTGGTCCACTCTTTGGTGGACTTGGAACTCTATCTCCTTCCTTCCCCAGGAAATCACTCCCACAGGGGCCAGCTTCCCATGAAACCACAGGGTGTCCCTACACAGTCTACCCAGGCCCTCGGGGCTACCCACCCTTCTTCCAAAGGGCAGTGAATCAGTTAGGAATGCGTTGGGCTGCAAGGAACAGAAAACCCAATGAACTGTGGTTTAAACAAAAAGTTCCTTTTTCTCACATAATAAGAAGTCAGGAGGCAGTGGTTGCTGTGTTGGCTCAGCTGTCCAACAAAGCTATTAGGGATCCAGGCCCTCTGATATCTGTCCAGCCCTCCCTCCTTAGCATACTGGCTTTTCTCCTCATGCTTGTTGCCTCCAGCTTGCAAGATGATTGCCACAGCACCACACTTCATATCAATGTTCAAGGTAGGAAAGGGGTCAACTGTTTTTGACCCCTCTCTTCAGGGAGTAAAAGCTCACCCATGAAGCCCCTCAGCCAACTTCCTACTGGTCAAAACATTATCCCAGGACTACCCTTAGCCTCAAGGGAGCCTGAGAAATGAATATTTTGCTTTTCCAGCCTGTGCAGTAGGAGGTGGCAAAGGAGAAGTAGTTGTTAGACAAAGAACGGTGTCTCCATATGATTCTCTCTTACTGGGCCCTGCACCCCTCGCCCGTGCAGGGAGGAGGAAACTGTTTCAAAGGTGACAGGCCCTCCTGAGATCTACTAGGAGACTTTTCTGCCCTCTCTCCCCAGAGCAGAGAGAAGGCAGAAAACAGGAGTGTAAATCTTCACGCATAAGGGAGGCTGCATAATTTATACCAGAAGGGAAATCAATCTCCATTACTTTCCTTTTCCCTTGCAGAGACTTGTGGGGAAGGGAGAAGGAAAAGTCAGAAATTTCCAAGCATCAGCCCAGACCTCCTATGCCTGGGGTTGTCGGGGAGGGATACAGGGGGTTAGAGTAGATGGTCTGTTGTTAGCAGAGACCATGGACGAGTCTTCAGGGGAGGTGTGGGCTTGGAGGGGAATAGTGAGGTGGAGAGACATTGCTCTGCAAAAGTGGGTGAGGGAATTGAGTCTGGGGGGGCACCAGAGGGCCAAGTGGGGAGGCAAGGAGTCTTGGAGGTGACTCAGAGGCGAGGAGGAACCATTGGCTTTGTAAACTCCAGGGAAAGGCAGCTTCCCATATAGCTGGATGGTGAGAGTACAGCTGTGGGTGGGGGGTGAGGGGGTGCGTGCAAAGATAACTGGGTGTGGGGCACAGACCAGGACTGGGGCCAGCAGAGGAGGCACCCTCAGATTACCTGTGGAAGCAGGATCAAAGGCAGAGGTGACTGGGAGAGGCAGGTGCTGCCACTACCACCCCACCCCATGAAGTCCTGGCAAGGACAGGAGGGATGTGTGGCCCCTCTCCGGGGGCTGGTATCACTGCCAGCTCCATTTGGGTCTCCAAGGGCAGGGAACCTTGCCAACTTCCAGTTTACCGGCATGTACTGCAAAGTCATTTATTTAGTGGGGAGGGACACTCCAGTCCTCAGAGGCCTCCAGCACCCTGTTTCCTGGATGCTGGTGGCAGCTCAATAGGTAGATAACCTATATGGGACCTGAGCTTTCTGTCTTGCCCACATACTGGGACAGGCTGACCTATCTACTTGGAGTAGATGGTTCCAAGGCAGGTGGCCTGAGCCCATGTCCACAGCCGGCAGCAAGACCTCTGGCTCCCAGAGCCAGCCTCGGCCACACCCTTCCACTGACCACAAACGGCAAAGTGAATGAGCCTGCTTTCCGGTCCTGCCTTTCCCTGCTAGGTCCCCCATCTGCCTCTCTGGGGTCCACACCTCAACTTTCGTTCACCTGCCCCCATGGACTGCAACTCCCAAGGGCTCAGGCTTATCTGGATCCCGGTGGTCCAGCCGTGCCACCACACACGGGTGGAGGGAGGGGGCGGCTCCATAAATGTCTGTTGGAAGAGCTGCCACCGGCTGTCCTACTCACAAGAGGCCGAGTTCTGTATCTTTCTCAGCACCCCACTTCTAAGCTTACCAGTCCTGTGTCCCATTCCTCGGATGCTGGGGAGGGCTCTGAACCAGTGCCCTAGTTTTTGTTCAGGTGTATTATAGATTGAATTGTATCCCAAAAACACGTTGAATCCTAACCCCTGTACCTGTGAATGTGACCCCGTTTGGAAATAAGACGCTTTTAGGTTGTGTTAATGAGGCCATACCTGAGTAGGGTGCGTCGGAAACCTAATCCCTTCTGAGTGGTGTCTTACAAAAGGGAAAACAGAGAGAGACACATACACAGGGGAAGAGACCCTGTGAGGAACCATCTACAAGCCAAGGAACGCCCGGGGCTACTGACACGGAAGGGCCCACCCCCAGAGCCAATGCCCTGATTTGGATTTCTAGCCTCCAAAACTGTGAGACAATACCTGCCTGTTCTTTAAAGCACCTACTTGTGGTATTTTTGTTACAGCAGCACTAGGAGACGAAGACAAGGTGTGAACGCCCGATGGAGCTAATGCATCCCCTCCAGGTTGCCCCCTGACCCTTCAGGGTCTCAGCCCAATGGAGCAACCCATGAAGATGTCAGGCTGGTGGGAGGGGCTTGGGGTCCTCATGTCACAGACACGCATGTACAAAACACGTCTATCAAACAGCCGTCCGCCCCTCACAGATCCCAACTCCCTGGAGGGCAGAAGGGCATCGCTGGTATCGCGGCCCTGCCTCGGCCCCGCCCTCTGTCTCACACCCGTCTGTCCCTGGCTGCGTCCTTAGCCCCCAGCTCGAAAATGGACCTAGGGCTGGGACAAAGGAGTCTGAGAGTGGGGATGGAGGTGGCCCATCTCTGTTAGGGCTGAGGGGCCCCTCTCCCTCCCAGCCCAGGTAACCTGAGCCCAGCATTGTGTCCATCCCGGAACAGCTGACAATGCTGTGGTCAGACAGCTGGTGGGGCCGGGCCAGGCCGGCGGACGGACGGCTGGATGGGAGTGGGGACTGTGTCACGTGAGACCTGGAGCCTGCATCCATCTGCCCCAGACCTTGGGAGCTGCCAACCTGTACGGCCGCTGCGGAGAGCTGAGGCGCCATGCATGGGGGCCGGGGGCCGCTGCTGTTCCTGCTGCTGCTGGCTGGTCGCCTGGGTATGGACACAGGAGACCAGGGGCTGTGGGGCCGGAGCAGGGGTCCAAGACTCAGAGGACAGCCAGTGTCTGGAGGGCTCCTGGGCCTGCCCACACTCTAGCCCCCTGCTTCTCCATGACCCCCCTCCTGTCTATCTTGAAGCCCCCTTGCCCTGCTCACAGCTGTCTGTTGCAGGAGCTCAGGGCCGGAACCAGGAGGAGCGCCTGCTTGCAGACCTGATGCGCAACTACAACCCCCAACTGCGTCCCGCCGAGCGCGAAGCAGACGTGGTCAACGTCAGCCTCAAGCTCACCCTCACCAACCTCATCTCCCTGGTGAGCTGGCCTGGATGGAGGGGGGCCTGCTGGGGCGGGGAAGGGGCCGCACCAGCAGTGGGAGCAGGGGGTCTGCCTGGCCTCCTGGTGTCCTGTTGAAACTGACACTGGGTGGGGGAGGCCAGGTTTGGGCTTAGCACTCCATTCTGCACCCCCAGAATGAGCGTGAGGAGGCCCTCACCACCAACGTCTGGATAGAGATGGTAAGAGGCCGCCCGCTGCCCTGCTTCCTGCTATTGGGGCCCCACCCCGGCTCCCGAGGCCTCATGAGAGCCAGCTGCCCATCCCCCCTCCCTGCCTCTGCTGTCCCGTCTGGGCTGGACTCCCATTGCATTCTGGGGGTGTGGGGCAGCGGACAGCAGAGCCTGGAATCTCCTCCCCCGCTCCCCGCAGCAGTGGTGTGACTACCGTCTGCGCTGGGACCCGCAAGACTACGAGGGCCTGTGGGTGCTGCGGGTGCCATCCACCATGGTGTGGCGGCCGGATGTCGTGCTGGAGAACAAGTGAGGAGGGGGCAGGCAGGGGTGGGACCAAAGGACACGAGTCGGGGCCAGCAAAACCAGGGGTCTGGGAAAAGTTCTAGATGGTGCAGGTGCCATGGGGAAGGCCTGGGTGTGATCTCTGACCCCAGGGCCAGCAGACCTCGTCCTAGAGCAGGCTCCATCACCTCTGGGCTGGCCAGCTAGGGGTTACTTCTGCTCCTGAGACTGTCCCCTCAGTTCCCATAAGCAGGGGATAACAGCGGCATATGGAAGTGCTGTGAGGAGTCAGCCAGACGGGCATGGAAAGTGTCTGGCACATTTTGAGAGCTTAACAGATGTTACTCATTGCCTTCCAGTCGACCCTATAGGACAGAGTAGAACTGCCCCATAGAGTCTCCAAGGAGCTGCTGGTGGATTCAAACTGCCGACCTTTTGGTTAGCAGCCGAGCTCTTAACCACTGTGCCACCAGGGCTCCGTTGTGACTCCAGGGCTCCTAACAGATGTTAGCTGCCATTTTTACCATTGTTTTCATTATTAGAAGTTAGAAGGCAGGGCTCCAGGGAGGCTGTCTGGGGTGGGGGTGGCAGGGAGATTTGGGGGAAGTAGTGGTTCCTGTGGCCAGGTGGGGACGAGCCAGGGGCATGGCAGGCTGGGGAGAGCTGGTGTGGGGCGCAGGGTCTGAGCCCCAGCCCTGTGGCCTGGCCTGTGCCCACAGCGTGGACGGCGTGTTCGAGGTGGCGCTTTATTGCAACCTGCTGGTGTCCCCTGACGGCTGTATCTACTGGTTGCCGCCCGCCATCTTCCGCTCCTCCTGTCCCATCTCCGTCACCTACTTCCCCTTCGACTGGCAGAACTGCTCCCTCGTCTTCCAGTGAGGCCATTTACGGGGTGGGGAGGGGCAAAGGGGAGTCCCTGGGTAGCACAAATGGTTAAAGTCTATGTGACTAACCAAAAGGTTGGCAGTTTGAACCCACCCAGAGGCACCTTGGAAAAAAGGCCTGGCAATCTGCTTCCAAAAGGTCACAGCCTTGAAAACCTTATGGAGATCAGTTCGGCTCTGACACACGTGGGGTCACTATGAGTCAGGATCGACCTGGTGGCAACTGTTTTTTGTTTTTGTTTTGTTTTTTGTGGGGGGGGACGAAAGAGGGTCAACCTGGAGGTGTGCCTGAGTGGGGGGGTTTTAGGGATCTGCTCTAAGAGGGGCCTGGGCAGGTGTGGTGGAGCCCTGGCCGGTGGGGGATAGGTGAGGCTTCTGGCCTCTGCTCGGTCACCACCTCCCCAGGGCCTCCATGCCATCTCAGACAGAGACGCCTGAACGTGCCCCAGTCCCCTCACTCATCCTTGTTCACTGCTTCAGTTTCCCTGCCTGTGCCCAAAGGGAGAAATTCTTGTCTGGGATGGGTGAGAAGGCATACACATGCACACGGCATACATGCGTGCACACACGTGTGCTAGCTACACACTCACAGGTAGGGGGCTGTCTTGTGAGGGGCGAGAAATCAGGTCCTGAAGCCCCTGTATGTGACCCAAGCCATACCGGGAGGGGGCGTCTCTGGGTCTCATTTTCCCCCTTCATAAACGTGGGAAGGGGGTCCGGTGACCTGGGTGGCACAAATGGTTACGTACTACACTGTAGCCAAAAGGTTGGCAGTTCGAACTCACCCAGAGGCACTCAGAAGAAAAGCCTGGCAGATCTGCTTCCAAAAGGTCACAGCCTTGAAAATCCTACGGAGCACAGTTCTACTCTGACACACATGGGGTCACCATGAGTCGGAATCAACTCAATGGCCACTAACAACAAGAGTCTTTGACAAAGGGAACTTCTTGTAGGGGGATCCGTCAGTAAACAGCCCGAGAGCTGCTCTTTCGGTAGGAGTTTATTTCCTACGTTCTCACTGGGGGCCCCTCCTGCCTGGGCGGCAGCTGGAGAGCTGACAGCGGCTGGATGAACACAGGATGGTCCTGGGCTCTTGGATGCCAGGCAGAGGTCCTCCCACTCACACGTCCCCCAGAAAGCCCCAAGTCCCTTCCACGACACTGCCGGCAAGTTCTGCAGCAAATTCAGAAGCACAGGGCTGCAATTTTGGAGGCAAAACTGCCCACAGTTGCCCTGGTGCTGCCCCTGTAAGCTTATGGAGCGTCTCCATACCCGACAGCTTATCCTCCTTCCCACCAACTCCCAGGTCCCAGACATACAGCACCAATGAGATCAATTTACAGCTGAGCCAGGAGGACGGTCAGACCATCGAGTGGATTTTCATCGACCCCGAGGCCTTCACAGGTAACCTGCACCCTGGGATCCTGGAGCAGCCTCACCCAGGGTCCTCCTGGACCCGGCTGCAGGGCCAGGGCCAGACCAAACGTTACTGACAAGATTGAACCCCCTTCCATGTAACCCAAGATAAAAACTACAGTAAACCCTGGGTGCTACAGATGGTTAAGCGCTCAACTACTAGCTGAAAGTTCAAACTCTCCCAGACGCTCATAGGAAGAAAGGCCCAGCGATCTGCTTCTGAAATGTTACAGCCTTGAAAACCCCATGGAGCAGTTCTACTCTGCACGCATGGGGTTGCCATGAGTCGGAATCGACAATAGCTAACGACAGCAAACCATGAAATATGTTAAGATCCAACTGTGAGATTTTCCCTGTGAGAGTTACTTCATTGTCGCGGAGGGAGGGGTCAAATATCCAATCTCCTGGCCCCTTGTCCATCCCCCCACGGTGCCCCCCACCCTCTCCGTGCCCACCCCTGGTGCCTGCAGAGAACGGGGAGTGGGCCATCCGGCATCGGCCAGCCAAGATGCTGCTGGATGCGTCGGCGCCAGCCGAGGAGGCGGGCCACCAGAAGGTGGCGTTCTACCTGCTCATTCAGCGAAAACCCCTCTTCTACGTCATCAGCATCATTGCCCCCTGCGTGCTCATCTCCTCTGTGGCCATCCTCATATACTTCCTGCCTGCCAAGGGTACCTGGGGCCTGGGGGAGGGCGCCATGTCCCTGTCAGCAGCCCAGGGGACAACTGGGCGGCTGGAGGGGCACCACAACCCAGGACTGGGCAGTGGGCTTCTCTGTGGGTGGGGGGAGGTTGAGCCCTGCTCTGAGGAGCCTCTTGGTTGCGGGCAGCCGGTGGCCAGAAGTGTACTGTCGCCATCAACGTGCTTCTGGCCCAGACAGTTTTCCTCTTCCTGGTGGCCAAGAAGGTGCCTGAGACCTCCCAGGCGGTGCCACTCATCAGCAAGTACGGTGGTCCTCACACCTGCCCTCCCACCTGCCCTCACACCTGCCCTCACACCTGCCCGCCCACCTGCCTGCACACCTACCCGCACACCTGCCCTCACACCTGCCCTCATGCCTGCCCACCTTCTCCCCTCCTTCCTTGGGGACTCCTGGCACTACCCTCCTGCCAGCCCTCACCCCCAACCATTCTCAGTGCCAACCCCTCACCCCAGGGGACCTGAAGGGTGGGGGTGGCATTGGGGAATGAGGGTGGCTAAGGGCCAGCCTGGCCTCCCACCTCCCCCCACCAGGTACCTGACTTTCCTCCTGGTGGTGACCATCCTCATTGTCGTCAATGCCGTGGTCGTGCTCAACGTGTCCTTGCGGTCCCCACACACACACTCCATGGCCCGAGGGGTCCGCAAGGCAAGGCCCCTCCCTGCCCCCCCCAGCATCATCTCACCCAGCGCCCAGTGTGCACACACGTGCCCTCCAGGCAGCAAAGCTGCCCTCGGTGCACTTGAAGCATTTGCCAAAATGGATGAATGATAATGTCGGGCGCTTACTATGGTCCAGGCACTGTGCTAAGCGCTTTACGCCCGTTAACTTATTTCATCTTCATAAGAACCCTGTAAAGTGGACATTATCATCACCCCCATTTTACAGATGAGGAAACTGAGGCACGGAGAGGGTAAATAGCTTGCCCAAAGTCACAGGGCTAGACAGCGGAGGAGCCAGCCTTGTTACAAATCTCTCCCCTGCCCCCAGGCTCCCCCAGACAAGCTGGGCCAGAACAACAGGTGGGGCCCAGGAATCTGTATTTGTAACATGCATCCTAGCGATTATGATGTGCATACAAATTTGGGGACCCAGCTCAGTTTCTGGCACAGAAAAGCCCAGCTGGACCCAACCACTGCCCCTAACCTGCTGCCCCTGGGCCCTGGCAGCATGAGCCTTCCATGCCAGCCTCCAGCCGAACCAAACACTGGGCTGGCTGGCTGCCTAAGCTAAGTCACCCTGATCAATCCCTCCACCCTAGGTGTTCCTGCGGCTCCTGCCTCAGCTGCTGCGGATGCACGTGCGCCCGCTGGCCCCCGCGGCGGTCCGGGACACCCGGCCCTGCCTACAGAATGGCTTCTCTGGGTGGTCAGTCACGGCCGGGGAGGAGGTGGCCCTGTATCTGCCTCACAGCGAGCTCCTCTTCCGGCAGCGGCAGCGGAACGGGCTGGTCAGGGCCGCGCTGGAGAAGCTCGGTGAGGTGCAGGGACATGCAAGGACTCCGTTCCACAGGGACTCCAGAGGGAAGGGTGGGTTGTGGGCCAAAGCACCAGGCACAGCAGGTGGGTGAAAAGCAAGTGTCCAGGGTGGGGAGGGAGGGGCAGGAGTCCCTGGAGAGAGGCCACCTTCTCTGCCTGGTTCTCCTCCATTCTACACCCAAATCTTAGCCTCTTTCCTCCTCAGAGAAAGGCCCAGAGCTGGGGCAGAGCCAGGAGTTCTGTGGCAGCCTGAAGCAGGCCACCCCAGCCATCCAGGCCTGTGTCCAAGCCTGCAACCTCATTGCCCGTGCCCGCCACCAGCAGACTCACTTCAACAACGTGAGCTGGGGGAGAGTGGAGGCATGGGGCCTCGGGCTGGGGTGGGCAGAGGATGAGCTGGGGCAGTGGGTGGAAAAAGAGGAGATGAGGTGGGACATCAAGGCCTGGAACCACGGAGCAGCCAGGCTGGGGCGTGATTCAGGTGAAGGGCCCCAGGAAATGGAGAATGGAGGCCCAAAGCCCAAGGATGGTAGAAGGATCCAGCGAGGGTCATCCCGCACCCTGCCTCCCGCCCTTAGGGGAACGAGGAGTGGTTCCTGGTGGGCCGCGTGCTGGACCGTGTCTGCTTCCTAGCCATGCTCTCCCTCTTCGTCTGCGGCACTGCTGGCATCTTCCTCATGGCCCACTACAACCGGGTGCCTGCCCTGCCATTTCCTGGAGACCCCCGCCCCTACCTGCCCTCGCCTGACTGAGCCAACCAACCCCTTCTGGGCACAGGGACTTCATGGCCATGGGGGCTGCACTGAGGCTTAGCAGCTGTGTTCTGCTCTGCTGAGGTCATGAGTGTGCTCTTTGGAAGGCACCCTTTGGGGCCGCGGCAGCCAAATAAAGAGACAGAGCTGGAGTCTGGAGTGGTTGGGGTGGGCAGGGGTGCTGTTGGGGTCAGCATCCACATGGCATTGGCTACCCACCCCTCCAGTGAGCATCCTCCCCTCACCTCAGCAGAGCATTATCAACTCCCACCCATTTTGGAGGCCCTAAGGGCCTAAGGGTTTTCTATGATGCCGCCAACTTGGCAAGGTCCTGCTCTCCAGGCCTAGGCCTGGCAGCCCTTTTATGAGTTCCCTGCAGGCTCCTCAAAGAGGGATGTCAAGAGAGATGATGTGAAGAGTAGTAGCAGCCCACTCCAGCTGGCATTTCCTCCCCTATCATCTGGGTGCGGTGGCCCCCCGTACGCACCTGCATCCGTAACCTTCCAGTCACATGCACTATTTGCCACTGATCACAAAAGATTGCTTGAGTTTTATTATCCTTTTCCATTTTTAAGAGGAGAGCTTTTCACTGCATCATGGACAAGCAAGAGTCACTATTCCCCCACGTTTCAAACGTGCCAGTTGGGGTCCAGAGTAAAAGGGGCTTCCCAGAACACTGGTGGTTACACGAGGTGTGGAGTCCAGAATTGCCAACTCTCTGCCCCAATCTCAGACGCTCTAAGAATGCTTCTGCAGCTTGCAAATTGGGACCCTTCTTCCTTCTCTTCTTAAAGGCCATGTGTTTGCATTGGTCCCAAAGAGTGTTTAATTCAGGGTGGAGCCCGCCAGGCAGGGAGGCTTGGCGTTAACAGGGAGCCTTTTTGCCTCCCAGGATGGGTCCCTGACCTGCCTCCCTTGGCCCCATTTGTCAGGAAATAAGAGGACCAGCTGAGGTCTTCTTGTGGGGGAGGCAAGGCCCGGGTCTGAGAGTACAGCTGGGACCGTGGGCACGTCACTTCCAGCCCCTGAGCCTGTTTCCTCATCTGTAACATGGCACAGATGTCAGTTCCTGTCTTCCCTCACTGCAACCACAGGCTCAAAGGTGTGGGTGAGGGTGATTAACAAATGTAAAAGTGCCTCATAAAAGCCTGAAAGTGAGACACTGGGGGTGGGGGGGAGGAAAAAGGACCCTGGAAATTACGGCCCCCCACCCCACGGTTGCTGGCTTTGGTGCTCAGTCACCAGCAGGGGCACTTTATTTACTCCGGTGTACGTGTGCACCCTCCTGTCGAGTTGTCGCTGTGCTGGGGCCTCAGATCTGGGAGGGTTTGATGCCCAGTAGAACCATCTCAGGCCCCGTACTAGCTTTGTCACCCGGAGTGAGTCTCTTAAACTTCTGAATGCCTCACAGAGCAGAGATTAGCTCAGTAGCTCTTGGATACTGAGAAAAACAAGAATAACAGTCACCATTTATTAAGGGTTACTTGTACCAGGTATTGTGTCCAGCGCTTGACATTGATAATCCTGTGGAACCCACACACAAGACGTAGGCGCTATTGTATCATAGCCTCGGAAAGGTTATGAGATAGGAAAGTGCAGCCTGCACAGGGGCTGGAGTTAGGATTTGTACCAGGCAGTGATTCCAGAAGGGCTGGCAGGGCTGGCTGCTAACCAAAAGGCCGGGGCTCGAACCCACTAGCGGCTCTGCGGGAGAAAAACCTGGCGATCTGCTCCCGAAAAGATTACAGCCTAGGAAACCCTATGCGGCCGTTCTACTCTGTCACGTGGGGTCACCATAAGTCGGAACCACTCCATGGCACACAACAAAGTACGTGCGGAGGCCGCACTCTCAACTCCGCGCGGGGCTGCCACTTTCTCCGAGCCCGCTGCAGGCAAGGGCTAGGACACGCTCCCTTGGGAGGGGAGTGGTTCTTACTGGCTAAGCCGCGGGGAGCGGCCTTGCAGGCACTGGGACAGGGACAGCGCCAAAGCCACAGCCCCGCCCCGCAGCTCGCCGCCGCGCAGCTGCACTTCGCGGGCGTCCCGGGATTCCGGCCTCCCCCCGCAGGGCCTGCGCGCCGACGTTCCGCTGCTCCCGGCGCAACCGGAAGTGGCCGGGCCCAAGGCGGAGGGACCCGGCGGAGCGGAAGTCATTCCGTGAGGCAGTGGCGACGGCGGCGGCGAGAGGATGAACAACAAGTTCGACGCGTGAGTGGCGCGTGGCCGCCCCCCGACTCCGGGGCCCCTTCCCCCAACCGTTCCCCCGCGCCCGCCCCCGCCGGCCCCGGCGCAAACTCTGCCGCTCAGGCCTCCCTGTGGGCTTGGGCTGCGGGTCGGCTGGGCCCGGGCGGCCGGCAGGGAAGAGGGGGCTGGGGGGTGTGAGGTGCAGGGTCCTAGGGACCCCAGGGCTGTCCGGGCGAAGGGCGGAGGCCGGGAAAGGGTGGCCGTGCCGCCAGGAAGGAGGTTTTCGGACGCCCCGCCCCGGTGGGTGCGGGTTGCCGGCGACGTGGAGGGTGGAGACCTCGGAGGGTTTGAGTGTTTCTGCAGGCTTGCCGCCCAGCCTCTGAATCCACCTTTCCTCCCAGACTCGCTCTGTGGCTTGGGCTGGTCACCTCTCCTCTCTGAGCCTCAGTTTTGTCATCTGCAAAGTAGGGAGGGTGACAGAGCTTGTCTAGTAGGGTTTTGAAGATGCAGTGAGGTAATGTGGCTGCAGCGGTCAGCACAGTGGCTGCCCAGTTACGGAATTCTCATCGTTTTTCCGAGACTTCTTCCTACTTCCTCTCTCCTGCCCCGCCCTTTCCCTTCTTCCAACACTCTTGCCAAGAGCTGGTTAGTTGTCTTACCCAACTGGTATACCAGGTCGTTTGCCTCCTCTGTATAGATGCCCCTACTCCTCGTTCCAGTGGCGTACTATTTGCAGGTACAGAGAGGAAATGCAAAAGTAGTTTTGCATATTTCCTTCCAGCGATTGTATATTTAGGTAAATGATGTTCTTATCTCTCTTCTCGTAGTCTTGTAAATCTAGTTAATCGGTCTGCCCATCTGAAGACCTAGATTTCCAGCCCCAGACCCACTGGCAGTTGGACAGCAGGCAAGTCACCCCGTCTCTAGCTGTTGTTGTCCAAACCAGTCAGTGGTTGGTGCCGTGCTGTCTCATTGGGGTGTGATAAGGATTAAATCACACTCAGCCAAGCTTACAGGTACTTTGTGAATTGCTAAATGTTGTTAGCCGTCTTAGAGTAAGCTCTTTCTCAGTGACCTCCTATATAGCAGAATGATACAGTGCCCGATGCTGTGCCATCTTCCTAACCATTGCTGTGTTTGAGCCCATTGAGACGCCACGGTGACAGGTTTAGTTTAGAATTGCTAAATAGTGAGATGTAAATGTACAGTGAACTTACTAGTAGTTTAGGTTGTGACCTGCTGCTGCTAATGCGAAGTTGGGGTTTTTCCAATACAGCGAGAGCTAGAGTGCAAATGCAGGGGTGCTGGATTTCCACCGCTCCAGGCAGCTCCTTAGGAGTGTTTCCTAGTTGCTGAAAGGTCTCTACTGCTTGAGAAAATCTTTGACAGAACACTTCTCCAGCCTGCTGCCTTGCTGAGCCCATCCCTCTATGCCCACCCCCCCGCCCCTGCCAATCCTCGAAATGATAAGCCTGGCAATACGTAACTCCAGATCTATGTACAGTGGAGCTTTATGCAAACCCATACCCCTTCCGCAACTGAATAGAATAATTCAGAATTTCATCTTAAGAAGGTACTTTATGGGCCATCTGTCCCAGTCCTACCCAAATCAGTATGCTAATTTAAGAACAGTAATAGTGGCATCTTGTTAGATACTTTTCATGTATTAATTCTATTCCTTTTAACAACTCTGCAAAGGGGATGTTGTTATCTCCTTTTACAGATAAGGAAAATGAGGCTCTCTGAGGTTGAGTAACTTGCCCAAAACACCAGGAAGGGCCATATGGTGGGATTCAAACCCAGGTTCGTTATTTAACCTTGGTTCAAGCACTCTGTTGACAAAAAACTAACCTGGGTCATTTTTAATTTGTCCTAGTTATTAACTATTCATCATACTGAGCCAGAATTTTTAAACATCTGTTCCCTAGCTGTGCAGGAAAAAACAGCTTTTTTTTTTCATTTGAAATTAGCAATCGAAAACAGCACCCTGGCCCTCCTTTTGTTTTTCCATGCAAAAATTCTGTGGTTTTTAGAATGTTCTTCTGTCTTTTGGAGTCTGTACTTTTCACTGCATTGCTCCTAAGAGCATGTTCCAGTTTGCTGAAAATCTAGTACCTGGAGCTGAGTATAGTAGTATAATCTGATGGGCTCTGGTTAACTGTTGGAAACTCTACTTCTGTGAATGTAACCTAAGGTTGACTTTTTTTGTGGGGGTTGGGGGAGGTAGACCCATCAAGTTGTTAGCTTCCATTGCCATTGATCCTGTTAACATGTAAAACCCATAACCTGGTTTTACAAGGACTACGGTCCTAACTTCCATAAGTTTTGCCCCTATCCTACATCCTTGTGTTCGTTTTGGCCCATTCTTAACTATTATCTGGACCACTTATTTGGCATTTACCCTATACTACCTTGTATTGCTTTGATTTTAGAAATCCACTTGTTGTGGATTGAATTATGTGCCCCCAAAATATCTGTCAGCTTGGCCAGGTCATGGTTCCCAGTATTGTATGATTGTTTACCATTTTGTCATCTGATGTGATTTCCCTGTGTGTTGTAAATCCTGTCATTATGATGTAATAAGATGGATTAGCGGCAGTTATATTGATGAGATCTACAAGATTAAATAGCAGTCTTAAGCCAATCTCTTTTGAGATATAAAAGAGAGAAGCGAACAGAGAGACAGGGGGACCTCATACCACCAAGAAAGCAGCGCCGGGAGCAGAGCACATCCTTTGGACATGAGGTTCCTGCACTGAGATGCTCCCAGACCAAGGGAAGACTGATGACAAGGACCTTCCTCCAGAGCCGGCAGAGAGAGAGAGCCTTCGCCTGGAGCTGGCACCCTGAGTTCTGGCCTACTGGACTGTGAGAGAATAAACTTCTCTTTGTTGGAGCCATCCACTTGTGGTGTTTCTGTAATAGCACTAGATGACTAAGACAGAATTTGGTACCGAGAGAGTAGGGTGCTGCTTTAACAGATCCCTAACATGTAGAAATGGTTTTGAAACTGTGAATGAGTAGAAGACTCAGAAGGAAGTGAAGAGAACTGTTAACACTGGAGAAGGCGCAGGTGGTGAGAAACAGCAGCCGAGGACCAGCGGCAGCAGAACCGGGAGACCAGAGCCAGACAGCGCTGGAGCCGACTTACGGACCGAGAGAGCTGAGTGCCTGTGTGCAGGAGGCTTCCTGGCAGAGTAGGGTGCCTCCGGACACTTACCGGTGGAGCTAGGCTTGCTGACCCACGGAGGAGCGAGAGAGCTGAGTGCCTGTGCGCAGGGGGCTTCCTGGTGGAGTGGGGTGCCTCCAGGCACTTATTGATGGAGCTACTGAGCTTTGGAACACTAGTCCCAGCAGGGTAGATCAGGTGTGAGGCCTGAGTAGCCGAGAGGCAGAGGAACACAGGAAGCCGAGCTGCCTTAGTCTCAAAAGGTATGGCCACAACCTCTGGGGACTCAAAGGGTGGAGCCATGGCCTCTGGTGTTTCTAAGGCTGGAATCGCCACTCAGATGGACTAGGAGAAGGGTGCACCTAAAGCTGAGGGAGCAGAGTTCCCGTCCCAGTGCGCCTGGAAGGCGGAGCTGAAGCCCAGGGCCAAGAGGCCTCCACTCAGAATCTGGAGAGTTTGGCAAATACCTAGCATCTGGAGGGCAGGGCTGTTGTGTAAATTGTCTTGGAGAACAGAGGGTTATTTTCAAAGCCTTGAGGGCTAATGTAATGTGTTCTGCTGACTTGCTTGGTGCCTGTTATGCCTTCTTTCTCTCCAGTGTCTCCCGTTTGTAATGGAAATGTCTAGCTTGTGCTGGTTCTGCCATTGTACCTTTGGAAGCAGATAACTTGTATTCTAGATTTCACGGAGAGGAATTCTTTGGATTTTGGGCTTGGAGTTGATTTAAGACTTTTGCTATGATATGATGGGGTGAATATGTTTTACATGTGGCAAGGACATGAATTTTGGGGGGCCAAAGGGTGATATGTCATGGATTGAATTGTGTCCCCCCAAAATATCTGTCAACTTGGCCAGGTCATGGTTCCCAGTATTATATGATTGTCTACCATTTTGTCATCTGATGTGATTTCCCTGTGTGTTGTAAATCCTATCATTATGATGTAACAAGATGGATTAGCAGCAGTTATATTGATGAGATCTACAAGATTCAATAGCGTCTTAAGCCAGTCTCTTTTGAGATATAAAAGAGAGGAGCGAACAGAGAGACGGGGACCTCGTACCACCAAGACAGCAGTGCTGGGAGCAGAGCACGTCCTTTGGACATGAGGTTCCTGCACTGAGATGCTCCCAGACCAAGGGAAGACTGATGACAAGGACCTTCCTCCAGAGCCGACAGAGAGAGAGAGACTTCCCCTGGAGCTGGCACCCTGAGTTTGGACTTCTGGCTTTCTGGACCATGAGAGAATAAACTTCTCTTTGTTGGAGCCATCCACTTGTGGTGTTTCTGTTATAGCAGCACTAGATGACTAAGACACCATTCATTAAACAGATGTTTGTTTTATGCCACTGCCTAATGCTGGAGATATAAAGATGAGTCAGAGTTCCTACCCTCCAGGGATGGGTCTAGTCATAGAGTGTGAGGAAATACCTGTAGAGAAGCCAGATGAGCTAATGAGGTGCCACGCTGTCTGGATAGCCTCAGAGATCATGATTGCCCACCTGAGTCTAGGGGGCAGTGAGTTTTCAGTCTGGATTGGCTCTTGGCTCACATCCAGCTTCAAGACAGGAAGAGTAGCCGCTGGAAGAGAGGATGCAAATGACTTGCCTTAAGAGTAAGCTCAGAGGGCAGGGATTGGTTATCTCCACCTCAGGAAATAAAAGCACAAGATGAAGGCCCATTAGGGTTTCCATTTACATCCCAGAAGGGAGATGTGGTCCAGGGATCACATTGTGATCATTATTTTTGTTATTCCTTTTCTGTTCCCTAGTGGTGATTAGCAGCCATCACTAAAAAGAAAGGAACTTAAGTGCTTTAGCAAGTAAAGGGGTTGCTGGGGTGACTATGCCTCTCTTCACCCAAGATTTAAAAGAAGGGAACCCCAGAGTATAAGGTGGGGGTTGGGAGCTAAGGCAAGAGGAAATTAGTTTGAGTCCCTGGGGTGGCCCTAAAGAAGAGAGGAGCTGTCTTGGGCTTAAGCAGTAGAGACAAAAAACTGGCCATGTAGAATAGCTGGGACAAACGCAGACATTTATATGGGGAGGTTGAGAAGAGGGTAGTCTGTCTGAGCCTGAGTTAGGAGAGGTAAAGGGTGTTTCCGAGAGGAAGTAGCCCTCTAAGTCCTGAAGGACAGGTCAGCTTTCTGAGGAGAGACCACATCAGGAGCATGACGGGATGAGAACGTGCACATTCTGGGAGTTGCAGGTGGGTTCGCATGACTGGAGTGAAAAGAGCGTGTTGGGACTGGGCAGGAGAGGATATTGGGACACATGTAGGCCAAGTAGGGGCTGGTACCTCCAGGTCTGTGCCATGCTGAGAAGTGAGTGCTTGTATACCTCATCTCTTCAAGTAGGGTCCTTGGGGACAGGCACGCTGTCTCTTGGTTATCCTAGAAGCTGATACACACAGTGGATGCTTGGTAAATTTTAATTTTTAATCCAAGAGGCTTGTGTACTAGCCTGGCTTCTTTGGGAAAGGAAATCAGACCAACTCAAGTTTAACAAAGGGGGAGGGTGTGCTTTAAGCACAGATAATGGTCTGCCCAGATTTTTGAAGAAGGCCCTGAGGCATAGATTAGTGGCCAGGCTGGGCTGCCCTTTGGTCAGGTGCCCTTTCTAGGCCTGTGTCTTGACCAGGGTGAGGATGGGGAGATTCATGGCACAGGGCATGACCACCTCAGTATGTTCAACAGCTAGAGCTGTGAAGTGGGCAGGGCAGGTCTACCAGGTGAAGGGGTTTACATGTTAATAGGATCAGTGGCAACGGAAGCCAACAACTTGATGGGCCTACCCCAAAACATGGCTAGTTTATCTGCTCTAGTATTTGTTGAGTCCCTTTTACATGCTAGGCACTGGGGATTCATAAGCAAAAAACCAAAATACAAAAGATTCTACAACACGTTTCTGTGAGTAGGGCAATATCATCTGAGTATGCTTTGAGCATTTCGAGTATCTTTCTTGAGAATTACCTAATTCTGTTGCACTATACATAGAGTCATTAGGGCCCAAAAGGTGATTGATTTTCAAGAAGATCCCTGGTGAGTTAATGGTCTAGCTCTACAACAGTGTCCTTATTATGAACTCCCCTTCTGTGTATCTTTGTGAGCTCCCCCCTTCTGTGTATCTTTTTTTTTCTAAACCGAGTGAACTTCAGGTGTACCTGAATGCCTTCAAGTAGCATCACCGCTCCTCAAAGGGTAGCACTCAAGGTACATTTGACTCTGTAGTTCTAAGGCAAGAAAATGTTTATTCCTTCTTTCAGGCATTTTTTTTCCTTCCTTTTCATTCAACATTTACCTAGCATCTTCCTGTCCTAGGTACCAGAGACACAGAGGTGAATAAGACACAGCTGTAAGGAAATCCCTCCGTTTAGAGGAAAGACAGATGTGGAAGGAATGGCACCTCAGGTTGAAGGGGTAGTGTTTGCTTATAGCTCAGATATGAGAATGTAGACTGGAGTACAGGGTGCTTTGGGAGGAGAGAGAGGGGAAGGAGATGACACTGGAGAGGCAGGCAGGAGTTGGGTTCTAGAGGATCTTACATTTCTTTGTACTCTGTCCTGGAGACCAAAACCAACCCTGTAGCCGTTGAGTCGATTCCGACTCATAATGACCCTATAGGACAGAGGAGAACTGCCCCATAGGGTTTCCAAGGAGCAGCTAGCGGATTCAAACTGCTGACCTTCTGGTTAGCAGCTGAGTTCTTATCCTCTACACCACTAGGGCTCCTTGTCTTGGAGGGTGGGAGTCAAAGAGCAATGGGCCTTTTAGAGTTTTAAGCAGGGAAGTGACATGATCAGATTTGCATTTAGAATAGATCATGCTGGTGGCAGTGTGGAGGGTGAATAGAGGGTGAGAGAGATCTGAGTGAAGGTGACCATTTAGGCATTTACTGTGACAGTTGAGAGACAGGAGAAGTAACAGGAAGTACAGATAGAGGAGATGGTAAGAAGGAGAAGTGACAAAATAGATAGGTAAGTTTTTAAACTTCATTTGAAATGCCAAAGCAGTTATTTAATCCAGAAACTATTCTCATATCGACTCCTTGTTTTTAGCAAATCAAACAATCCTTTAAACTGTTCACGTCTTGCTTCCTTACTTGGCCTGTTAAAAAAACCGGAAGACAGTGCTTTCTGGAGTGCACACATTCGCAGATCAGCATTTCATTTGTGTTTAATCCTCCTACTTTGTTTTTCTGCGTTCCCTTGACCTTTTCTCATCTTATGTGCCTCTCTCTGCCTGTATTTTGAGTGACGTCAGGTTGGTTACATGGTAGTTCATGTGACCTGGTGACTCTGTTAGGTAAGTAAGAATCAGCTTAGCCATGGGATGACCTTGTTTTGCCTTCCCTTTCAGCTTGAAAGATGACGACAGTGGGGACCATGATCAGAATGAAGAAAACAGCACACAGAAAGATGGTGAGAAGGAAAAAACGGAACGAGACAAGAGTCAAAGCAGCAGCAAGAGGAAAGTGAGTCTTGGGCTGCGTGGGTGAAGCTGCCTTTGGATTTCAGACTCGCTTATCTTGTAGATTCTGTTTATCTGGTAGATATCTGATTAATATGATGACACCCTGTGTGGAATACCTGATTTTGTTTTTTAAAAAGAAAAAGATTGTGGAATCACTGACATTCCTTTTGGGATTTAGAACTTTTTTCTGCCACAGGATCTTGAGGTGCTGCCTTGCTGCCAGCATTCTCCTAGTCTGAGTTGCTTGGAGTTTAACAAGGCTGGGAACCGCTTCATAAGCTGCTGCTGAGTATTTCAGATCCTGCATGTCTCTTGAGATTTAAGATTTTTTATTTTTTAGTCAGTAGTAGTTGAAGCTGAAAGTGACTTGGAAAAGAGAAAGTTTAGAGAATGAGAGATAGATGGATTCATTTTTCCCTGGAAACATCAAAGCTGTCATTAATTCGTTTATTCCACAATATTGAGTGCCCTCCTAATGCAAGCACTGTGCTAGGTGCTACGAGGACACAGAGGCAAGTGAGACTTCCTCCAAGGAGCTTGCATTTAGCAGTAGCAATAACAACAGTAGCTGGCTTTTGTTGGGCACTTATTACGTGCTAGGCACTGTGCTAAACGTTTTACATGTGTTAACTCATTTGATCCTCTCAGTAGCCCTATGGAGTGGATATTGTTATTTCCCCCACTTTGCAGAATGAAAACTAAGGCACAAACAGGTTAAGCAACTAGCCCAAGGCCACATGCCAGTAGGTGGTAGAATGTCACAGAGAAGGCAGTGCTTGGGCTGGGAATACGTTCAGATAAGATGAGAACATAAATACCTGTGATGTGAGGTAGAAAGTTATAAAAGCTGTAAGAACATAGAAAAAGTTAAAGGAATTTAGAATCAGCTAACCACTGAAGAAATTTGTGTGTAAGCAGGATCTTGGGCACATTGCAGGTAATTGAGGATGTATTCTTTTTTAATTATGGATGCAGTAAGGGATGACACTGTAAGTTGTTTTCTCAGCCAGAGAGCGCAGGGAAAACACCCAGGATTAACACACCTTCTTCACTCCCCAGGCTGTTGTTCCTGGACCAGCAGAGCATCCCCTGCAGTACAACTACACTTTCTGGTACTCCAGGAGAACCCCCGGCCGGCCCACCAGCTCACAGAGCTATGAGCAGAATATCAAACAGATTGGCACCTTTGCCTCTGTGAGTACTTCGTGGTTTAATGTAGTGAGTCTTGGTGTACACTTACACCTGTATTTATGTCATTGTTAACTTACGTTCCTGGTAACCTAGTTAACATTTTGGTTTCCTTAATCAGCTGACCTGAGTCCCTGAGGTCAGATTTGTTCATTCTTAGGTTTCTCATTGGATACCTATAGGTAACATAAATGTTGTTGTTGTGTGCTGTCGAGTTGATTACCACTCACAGTGGTCCTGTAGGACAGAGTAGAACTGCTCCATAGGGTTTCCTGGGCTGCGCTCTTTATGGGAGCAGATTGCCAGTCTTTTCTCCTGTGGAGGCACTGGTGAGTTCAAACCGCTGACCTTTTGGTTAGCAGCTGAGCGCTTAACCACTGCGCCACCAGGGCTCCTTCAGGTAGCATACATAGGTATCAAAAAGTATGTAAATTATGGAATTGATCAAAAAGGGACAATATAAAAACACAGGTGCTTAAGAAAAAAAAGTACAGGTACGCTTTAAAAATACAGTAGACATACTATAAATCACAAGATTTTACATAATTCTTTTTATGAATTTGGGTTGTTTTTGCTTTTAAGTAGATATTTATTGAGTCCTTACTATGCAAAGTACTGTGGGGGATGCAAACTTTTATAATATATGGTGTCTCCCCTCATGAACCCTGATAGTAAAATCAAGAGTAAAGTTCAAAAGTTTCTTTTGTATTAAAGAACCTCCCATTAGGGTTTTGGGTATGTTAGTGATTATGCGTAAAGTAGTATCTTTTTCTTGTGTTCGAAAAGAACTGCAGACTCTAATAGTTTTTGTGGGTGCCGTTAGCATAGCATGCCCAGGCTCCATCATGCCTTCCTCACGGGTGGCTAGGTTAGTGTGCCCAAGAAGTTGTCTGCAACTAAAGTCAGCCTTATTCAAAAAAGATTTCCATGCACCTTCTGTGTGCTGTGTGTTCCATCTCTGGGCAGAATCAAATGCAGGATTTGTCATTTTCTTGAAATTATTGGGGTATTTGTCCTGTTTCAAATGCAAAAACTGGAAAAGAATCATAAGACGGTAAACACTACAGTAAGTGAAGAGGAAGGACACAGTAACAGCACTTTATCTGTGTAATTTCCTTTGATATTATGATAGCCCTGTGAGGTCAGTGATGTTATCCATATTTTCCAAATGAGGAAAGTGACATTTGGGTTAAGAGTGTAATCTGCAATCTGAAGTCAGTCAGGATGCCCTTGATGAAGTGGCGGGGCAGTACTGAGACTCCAGTGGATAGGCTGTAAAAGTCAGATTCCAAAACCCATCTTTTTTCACTCCTCCAGCACACCAGAACGCGTGCCACCGGGTCCCACGGCTTTCCTGCCATGAGCCTTAGGCTTGAACATAGGTGCCTGCCAGACAGACTGGATTTTTCAGCTTATTATTAGCAGTTATGCATGTTTAATCAGATCATTTGATTAATGTGAGATTGACAACTTGGCAGTGCCCAGTTGATACAGTTTCAGCCAAAAGCAAAGATCTTGTGTGAATTGTTCTGTATTGCCTTATCACTGGTTAAATTCAAGGGTTTTTTAAATATTAAAAATAGCTCATTTGCTGATGGATATTTAGGTCAAGGAATGTTTGTTGAATGAATTCAAGGTTTTAAAATGAAGACACAGGCCCTGCCTTTAGGCAGGGAAATAAGACATACCCAGGAATTTCTATGACTTTTATAGGAAAGGCATGGCTAGCAATCGCTCAGAATTTAGAGGAAAAAAGGAATTAATTCCAACTTGGAGAATGCCCCCTTGGAGGAGATGGGTTTAAGGTTCAATTTAAGAAATTTGAACAGGTGGTAAGAAGAGAAAGGAATTCTTGGCAGAAGGAACAGTAAACTTTTGAAACTATCTATGCATTCCTAACATTCCTGAATCGATTGCAAAAGTTTTGATTGCTGGCCCCGTGGGAACACCCGGACATGACAGGTGAAATGGCAGCCACTGTGTTGTGACCAACTGGTAAGACACCAGGGGATAGGAGCAGAAACTGACCTGGGGAGCAGGTGTTCATTAGAGATTCCGTTCAATTATTCTGGGGTAATTAGGAATATTTCTGGCATTGTTCTTTCCCTCTTTGAAAAAAAGCATATATGAACTTACCACACGTGTGCAAGGAGAGTTTTTGTTTTGTTTTCTTGCGGTATGTATGTTGAGTTGAGTAGCATTTATCAGCAGCAGCATCTCAGGTTAGTACTTCTCAGTACTTGCTGGCTGTGTGACAGAGTGTTTGGAGTCTGCTATTGTGTTAGTAGCCCTTATACACAAATTACTGTATATTAAAGTAATTTATGTCATTAGGGAATGGCTCATGATATTAAATTCCTTGGAGAAAAATAATTACATTGTGAAACTTGATCAAATCCAATGCAGTATTTCCCTGTGGCCCTTCATCCTCATATTTGATGTTTAAAAGTTGTTGAAATCAGGGTGACTAAGGGGGTAGGTAGTGTGTTGAAATGGAAAGAGTGTAGACGGGAGTCACAAGACTCATTTTTTCTGGTGCTGGACTCTGTGGGCTGGGGCAAGTTGCTCTAATACTGTTTCCTTGGCCTTGTTAGTGATTATGCGTAAAGTTTATCTTTATGCATAAAGTTCGTTTAAAAATGAAGAAGGTACTTGAGATGATTCTGAAGCCCTTTCTGCCCTCATGTCCTGAGTCTGAACATCCCTCCCTCTTTTCTGCATGTGTTCTTTCAGCCATCATACCATGCAGGCTCTGGCTTACTTGCCTCCTTTATTCTTTGGTTTCAACTAGAACTTTTGAAAACCAAAACTGTCTAAGAAAAAGGAGGAAAAAATCTTTGAGAGTTCATTGTTTCTCAAGCAGCTTACTTCATTCCTCTTGTGGGGGAATTGAGGGTGTTTGGTGTACTTTCTCTCCACCGCCACCCTCCAGTTCTTAACTCACAGTGAGCTACTGTTTCTGGCGTGTGCACTGTTTCTTTTAACCGTGTTAGAGTGGGAGAGGGTGTTGCTCCTTGCTCATTGTGGACGGGCGGCCGGTCAGTATTCTGCATCACTGTGTGCACTGCTGTATGGATGAGAGCACTGCATGCAAGTTCTACGAATGGGATTCACTCCAGACTCCTTAACGTGTGAGAAGTTTCACCCGTTCCTGTTCTGTGCGAACCTGAAGGAAAACAGGCTCACACAGTGTCAGGTCTGTCTCTGCCCACTTGCTGCCGAGATCTACAAGGACGACCTGAACCTCCGTCTCCTCGGCGCCTGTTTTCAGCTGCAGCACTCTGGCGTCTTGCTGTGTGTTCACTTAGCGCTTCTGGTTCTCTCTAGGCTGTTTCCCTGTTTCCCTAAAACATGCCTCTTCACTGCTCATACTTATTCAGTGCTCTCTGTGAATTACCAAGGAGTAGGGAAATAATCTCTTAACAAGACAGTGAGAGAAACAGAACTAGCCTGATGCGTATAAATACGCATACATTTGAGAGAAAAATGTTAAGTCTGGTTTTCCAAGAGGATTGAGAAGGAGGGGCAAAAACAAACAGTTGTTTTATGGAAGAAAGAGGGACTTTACCCCAAGTACGAGAGGCTAAGGTCCGTTTGATTTTGGACTGTCTTGGCCTTTGCAAGAGCGTCATGGCATAGAGTAGCGTGTGTGGTTGATTCTACCCCTTGTACTCAGTAACTCAGCAGAAGTAAAATGTATTTCATTCTAGCTAATCCTGTATTTTACAGTAAAACAGTCTTTGATCAGGAAGTGATTTGGTTCTAAAAGATACATTCTGGCTGAGGCTCTGTGGCACTTAATGTTCGTCGTAGCTTAACGTACCTCAGGACAAAGGGTTCCCATTGTGCGAAGCCGGTCCGCGTCAGCCTATGCTGATTCTCCGGCAGCTTCAGCGGGAGGGTGCGTTTCAGCCTGACTTCGCCAGCTGAGGCTCTTGGCTGAGGCTGGGCTTTCTTACCTGAAGAGTTTCTTTTATCAAACTGTAGGATACGCTTTCCTCTAACATGCCTTCCTTCCCACATGATCCCCCAAATGAAAATGAAGCCTCTGAGCAGTATAGCCTGTTTTAGAGTGTCTTCCATGTTGTGGGAGCCCTGGCAGCACAGTGGTTAAGAGTTCGGGTGCCAATCAAAAGATCAGCAGTCGGAATCCACCGTCTACTCCTTGAAAACCCTATGGGGCAATTCTCCTCTGTCCTGGAGGGTCACTGTGAGTCGGACTCAGTTTGACGGCAGTGGGTTTTTTGGCTTTTCATGTTACGTCCTTTTAAATAAATCTCTGGCTGCATGCAGTGAAAAAGGAAAGACACATCTTTTATACTCTGGGGTCTTCTCTCTGCAGGTGGAGCAGTTCTGGCGGTTTTACAGCCACATGGTACGTCCCGGGGACCTGACAGGCCACAGTGACTTCCATCTCTTCAAAGAAGGAATTAAGCCCATGTGGGAGGTGAGCAGCGAGGGCCTCTGATTGCTTGTCTGGGCTAGGTGTTCTTGGTTTTGTTTTAAATATTTTAAAGTCTTTGCTCAAAATTGCTTCTCTCTTCAGTGCATCCTTGGAACCAGGCCCTCCAGGGAGAGACACCGTTGCTGGTTTCTGTGGGCTGGAGCTGGGTAGTTTTTAAAGATTGTTTTATTGCTAATATGGTACTGTAACAACATTAAAGGATGTTATTTAAAAAAATTACTCTTATTCCTATGGAAGTGTTTGTGTGCGTGTATAAAATTATAGTATGTGAAAAGTATTTTTACATAGTGTAATTGGGTCAAAAATAAGCTTACAGGCAGTACCTGGAGACCCAGAGCTGAGCTCTCTGATGTCTCCGCAGAGCCAGTAGTTGGTTGTGTTCTGGTGTCATCTGTCTTCTATCCTGACGCAAGGGCATTTTTCTAGACGATAAATCTGATCAATTCCCCCCACCCCAGTTAAAAATCCTACCCAGCTCCTCTTGCTCGCCTGGTCTTGCACCTCATCTGCCTTCCAAGCCTCATCCCCATTGTCTCCATGTCGTCTTGTGCACCCGGGCCCTCCTGGTTACAGCAGCCTGTCTCAAGGTCATTGTCTGTGGGCAGATGTGTTCTTCCGGCACCTGCAGGGCCCTTCACCTGTTGCCCTCCAGGCCCGGCTGGAATGTTTCCTCCTCTTGAGAGGGTCCCGGCGTAACATTCTGTGCATAGCTCAGCCCAGCGGCACTTGGCACACTGCATTGCTGTAATAGTTTTCTTGTCTGTCTCCTCTGCTAGACTGGCTCTGGGGTGAGGTGGTGGCTTCCCGTCTGTGCACTTGGTCCATGGGGCACTCAGTACACATTTAGCAAATGAGCGATCTGTGTTTGAAGTCTGACATCATTTTGTTTTGATTCCTAGAGTAGCTCTGGAGGAAAGAGGATTATTTTTAAAGGATCTGGTTAGGCTTTTAGGGGAAAGGATTTGTAGCAAGGATCCTTGCCTTTTTGTTTGTTTGCTTTATTTTTTTCCTGTTTCTTCTCTCATTACTCCTGCTTGCTCTGTACCATTTTTCCTGTAAAATCGAGTAGTTGGAAAGTGACAAAACTTCTTAGTCATTCTTGGCAGGCAAAATACTGCCTTAACTGCAAAAGAAGGAGCCCTAGTGGTGCAGTGGTTAAGCACTCAACTGCTAACTGAGAGGTTGGTGGTTTGAACGCACCAGCTGCTCCATGGGAGAAAGATGTGGCATTCTGCTTCCGTAAAGATTACAGCCTTGGAAGCCCTATGGGGCAGTTCTGCTCTGTCCTGTTGGGTCACTATGAGTTGGAATCAACACAGTGGCAATGGTTTTGGGTAGCTGCAAAAGAAAAAGAGCTGTGAGGTCATGTTTAAGTTTAATGCTTTCTCTCTTTTTACAGGACGATGCAAATAAAAGTGGTGGCAAGTGGATTATTCGGCTGCGGAAGGGCTTGGCATCCCGTTGTTGGGAGAATCTCATCCTGGCCATGTTGGGGGAACAGTTCATGGTTGGGGAGGAGATCTGTGGGGCTGTGGTCTCTGTGCGGTTTCAGGTAAGCCACCCCACGGCCAGTCTCATTTCTTGTATTGTCTTTGTCCTCCTGCTGCCTCCACTTGGCTTTGATGATCTCTGTTGCTCCCGTAGGAGGACATTATTTCAATATGGAATAAGACAGCCAGCGACCAAGCAACCACAGCCCGGATCCGGGATACGCTTCGGCGAGTGCTTAACCTACCTCCCAACACCATCATGGAATACAAAACCCACACCGACAGCATCAAGTATGTGTTGTGGGGGGGCCGGGGGGGTGTCCCTAAGCTCAGCAGAAGTAGGTCCGTAGTTGGGCCCAGAGGAGTTTGGTTGTACAGGAGACTGACTGGTGGAGAAGGGACAGCCCAGCTTAGCCGCTAGTGCTTCCAGCCACTTGGAGTGGTCTTTGTCAGCGAGGCTCCCTGCCCACTACACCACAGGCCTTTGTAGCAGAGAGAGCCTTCTGCAGACACCCAGCTGCACTGCCCGGGCTGCTTTCTTTATGCAGGCTGTCTCGTCTTTCAATCGCTAACCACTGTCTTAGAATGAAAGACAAAGTGCTCTTCTCTTTCTCGCTGTGTTTTAAGATAATCTCACTGAATTATAAAGACCTGTCTCCTCACCCTACTTTTGCATGTCTTTTTAACCTGCTAGCTTCAGTCTGTTTTCTTTGTCCTGGGAAATTGACTTCTCATTAGGAATAGTGACTCCGTTTCCTTGTGCGCAGAGCTGAAGTTGTAGTGGAAGCAGAGTAGAGTGTTTGGGGGAGTATAGTCGACGGGAGGCTTGAACGGCAAAGGGGAAATCCACTTAGCCCTCTGACCAGGACCCAGGAAGTGAGCTGTAGACACACACGCAGAATCACTGGCAAAGCTTGTGCGTTCAGTGATTGATGTCACCAGTGAGTTGAGGTGATGCTGACTGTTAGTTGTGGGGAATGGCAGGCAGGTTTTCTCAGCGCTCCAGGGAGAGCTCGCCAGCTAGGAGTCAGGCTTTTAGTTCACTCCTCTGACCCCATAGCAGTATGTGCCTTGGGCAAGTCTCTTAGCCGCTCTGCTTCGGTTTCCCCATCTGTAAAATGAGGGGCTATAATGCTTCACTTGACAGGGTGTTGTGAGGCCAGTTTAATCTTGGTAATGGGTTGAAGTTCTTCAGAGGGAGAACGCTCTTGCAGGGCCCGATAATTTATTGTCCTCATCGTCACTGGTAATAGCATTATCATTATGTTATTCTTATTAAAGACGAGCGACAGGCCTAATGATTGGGTTCTGCTGGCAGGCTGTTGGGACTCTCCTTTCCCGTGCATTCTCAGACAGTGTCATGGGTGGGGCTGGCTTAACCAGCTGAGTGCCAGTTTTTGACTGGGAGCACTGCCACCGGAGTTGGTCCATAATCAGATGGCCAGGCGTGACTCGTCGTAGCTCCCAGCAGTTATTAGCCAGTCATGGCCCGGTTGCTTGCCTTAGCAGCCCTGTGTTAGCACTGTTTTTCTCTAGATGGATTTTTCTTACTCTTTGTTCTGAGATAGAAGTAGTGTCGGCCGTCCAGCCAGACTTGGTCCAGGCTGGAGAGAGCCACACCTCTTTTTCCTAGGATTCTTATTTTTGAGGTTCCCAAATGCCACCCTTCCCAAAAGCAAGGCTTCAGCTGGGTAGGAAAGGGAAAGAGGTATTGTTCATCACCTTTGCCCTCTCCTCTGTTCTCCCCTTCTCATAGCCTGAGGCAGTTCTTCCTGAGCTTTGTAGAAACCTATGTCCCAGTCCTTAGGGAGTCTAGGAGAGCCAGAGTCTGCTGGAAAGACTGGCCCTCTGGCCCTGCTTTAGCAGAGGGCTGCCTCTAGAATGCCAGCCCTTCCCCTCCAGGGACCAGGAAGCCCTCCTGGGGACCCAGATGCTACTTGCCCTCGCGTCTCCCTCTTTCCTCTCCCAACGTGCCAACCTTTTGCACTCCCACTAGAATGCCAGGCAGGCTGGGCCCCCAAAGGCTCCTTTTTCAAAACCTCTGGAAGACGCGGGTGAATGTGCCGTGACCCTGTCCCTTTCTGGATGGCACCGTCACTGAAGCTGGCACCGTCGGAGTCTCTTGTTTGGTTGGCGTGCTACCTGGAAGATCCTTCTGTCCTGGACGAGAGGAATTGGAAGAGCATTTGATGTTTTAAGAACAGGCTGACATGCAGCAGCTACAACAACTGCTGAGCTTACTTAATAAATGGTGCTAAACTAGCTTGTCTCATGCTCTTGCTCTTTATGGTGCATCAAAGCAGTGGCCTTTCAGACTGACTGCCACCACGTGAAGGGACAGCACAGACTTCTCCGTGCAGGGCCATCCAGGGAGCGCAGTCTGATTTCCATAAGCCCATTGTAGAGTGTCCCTTGGTATTTAGTTCGAGAGCTGCTGAGGTCTGACATAATGAGGTGACGTCTAGCTCTCAAAATGAGACCCTGTTTTCTGGTCCTTGAATTTTCACCCCTGTCTAGTCATGCTCATGACCAGAACAGGGTGGTTTCTGATTTAGGATTCAGCTTGAAAGTTGGTTCAAGTTAGAAAGGGGGACCCTTGCCTTTGCTTCGCTGACTTTTCTGCTTGCCTTTACTTCAGAGAAATCTCTTGCTTGGAGGTAAAATCCTGCTTCTGCCTGTGTGTGGCTGTATGTATCCAGCTTCCTTGCTTTCTGCTAACAGGGTTTTCTCACTGGGGCCAAAGCTGCCCAGGCCACAAGCTCTTTGCCAGCCTTCTCCCTCTGCTTTCCCTCCAGAGCCAAATCATCTTCCTCTTTGTGCTAGCCTTGCTTGCCAGATCTCAGACTCATGGCCCCTGCCTCCCTCCCTCCCTCCCCAGCCCCGGCGTTGTGCGTCAGGATCTGGGAGGGGAGATGCCTTCATCCTGGGCGCACTGGCTCCTGGGATATCTGACCAGAGCACATACGGGCCTCTCGCATGCTCCACGGCTTTGGCTTACGTGTGCTGCGGCTTGGCCTGTAGGCCCCTCGCCTGCGTGCCAAGTGGCAGCAAGCCTCAGGTTCCTTTAACTTTTCTTAGGAGCCACCACCAAAAACAAGAAGAATCCGCCTGCCTGAAAGCATCAGAGAACGTGGTTGTCCCATTTGGGCAGTGACATCTGCCCATGTAGCATCCTGACTTTCCACCAGGCTCCACGTGGCCTGGGCTCCCACAGAACACACATTGGGACTGGCACCTCGGGCTCAACATTCTGGGGGTGTTTGTGCCATTGCTGCTTTGTTTATTGCATACCTAAAATTGGTCCAAGTACCTAGAAAACGGGAGGTTTGCTGGACTATGGAAAGGCCCTTTCTCTATGTTTTCAGCATTTGTCAAAGAATTAACCTTCCACTGGCCCTCTCCCTCTTGCCTTCCATGATTATGTTACACGTAGTGACTTTAGTGTCCGCTATATTGTTACTAGTCCTGGGGATGAGCTTGAGGTCACCTTCTAGAGTGAGAGTCTGTCAGAAAGCACCAAACTGACCGGCCACCCTGTGATTGTTGCCGCATGAGGACAGAAGTCAGCTGGGTCTGTACCGTCTGTTCCTTGTGGCTCTTCCCCAGGTAGGGCTTCATTTGAGCCAAGGAACAGCAGCTACTGGGACTTGAGAATTCCAAGGAAAATGAAGGAAGAAAGAGCCAACCATTATTTGTTCTCCCCCAAGTAGTGGCGGTTAGGGCTGCTGGAAATGATGAGAAGAACGTTTTCAGGAGTGGCTTAGATTTTTCAGTCAGGTGTTCTTGCCTCCACTCTTATGTTTTGATCCCGTTTCCAGTGTCCTTGTGCAGCTGGCTTTCCCACCCTCCCCCTGATCACACTGCTGTGGCCTTTTCCTGCCGCAGGCCTTGGTGAGCTGAGAGGGATGTACTGCTACCCAAACTGGGTGACGAGCGTCCCTCTCCTTCGAGTCTGGCTTTGCTGCCCAGCGGTGCCTGCCTGCTGGCCTCTGCCCTTGTTTACTGCCAGCAGTCCCCCTCCAAGGTGAACGGGGCCCCTGGAGAAATGGGACACTGAATGAGTGTTAGCTCAGGTGCCTGAGGCCTTTCAGGAGGCCAGTTCCCAGTGGAATTTTCATAGGTTTGGGTCCTTGGAAGCACCAGGTGACTCACCGTCTCCTCCGGTCTGCGGAGGTGTCTCTACCCAGCCGGACTTGCAACCCAGAGACCTAGGACCACCAGGATCAAACTGTGGGCCCAGAGATACATCAGACAGAGGTATCTTATGAGGAAAGTCCTTTGGGAATAGTCCCTGTGATTCCCTTGGTGCATCTGGGCTAGAATGGAAAAGGAGCAGATGGGGCAGATGGGGCCACGATGTGGGGAGGCTGACCAGACTGCTCTGCAGAGAAAGGGGTGGGTAGGCGATTTCTCTTTAGTTCTATATTCTAGAGGTCACATGGTGGTGACTGCCCTTTACCACATCCAGATTCTATTGTATTTAAACATTGAATTTCACAGGCAAGGAGCAGCCCACCCCTTCTCCTGTCATGGCTGAATCATAGCCTGTGGCACTGGGTCACACCAGCGAGGTTGCTGGTCAGCCTTGCATTTATGAAACGCCTCTCCATACTGCTGTTGAAAGCAGAGAGCCCAGGTGACCGGGGACTGCGCTCCTCACAATCATCAGCTGAGTGCAAGGCTGAGAGCCAAGCTTTGGGGCGGGGGGCAGAGGGGAGCACAGAATCACCCAGGAAGGAGATCCTGGGCTCTCAGAATTTGCTTTCTGGTAAGTGAGATGGGACAAGAGTGATCTTTAAAGGACTCTTTGTCATTCTGTCATTTGAGTCTGTTCAAATAGGCTACATTAATCTCAGTAATTTTTTCGTTTTTTAGAAACTCCAGTCGTGTAACACTTTTAGCATTTAACGTGTTCTTTCTTTAAATTTAAAAGAAAAAAGTTTTAATATTACCTGCTATGCCTGGGATGCCAGGTGGAAATAGAATATTCACACCTAACTTTAGGCAGTGGGTTCGCCTCTGTAGCCAAGCTGTTGACCTCTTACAATAAGAGTGACTATGCCCTGTGGCACAGTGGTTAAGAGCTCAGCTGCTAACCAAAAGATCAGTAGTTCAAATCCACCAGCTGCTCCTTGCAAATCCTATGGGGCAGTTCCACTGTGTCCTATAGGGTCACTGTGAGTTGGGATTGACTTGACGGCAGCCGGTATTTTTTTCTTCGTACCAAGGACTATGGCCAATAATTTTATTTCCACCGAATACATGAGAGGACATTAACCCAGATTCTTCATTTCAACGGGGCCATATGGTTCCTTGTTGACACCTCAGTTGCTTGAAGTAGAATTGAAATCTCCCTGGTAGAGAGAGGGTCCTTGCTCAAGCAGCAGATTTTGCTTTGCCCTTATCTTCATTTGGAGCAAAGAGTGGAATTGCCTTCTGGAGTCCCCTGAACCCACAAAATGCAGCACATTACCATCTCTCCAGAAGGGGCCGGGGAACAGATGTTTGCTGTGGAGCTTGCGTTTGAATTGGCAGACTGGCGTGCATGTCTGGCGTTCTGGCACTCGTCTTTAGTTCAGTTAGCGTGTATTAGCAGCTTTGGTAATCCTCTGAAGAAACCGCTAACCGCAGATCGCCCTCTCGTTCTCAGAGGCAGCTCATTAACTCAGAAATGCTGCTGTCCGAAGGGGGGATATCCTGGGCCGAGTCTCCGTATTTAATCCCTCCCCATTGAAGGAAACAAAGAAAAACTACCCATAGAAGGCCTGGTAATGACATATTTTAGCGACCATGGTATTGAACCTGTAGTGAGTGATGCAGGATGTTTGAGTACCACATCATCCCTTTAACCAAGAATGGAATAATAGACAATGAGAAACGTTAGATTTAAAAGCACCAAATGACCCATTTTATGTCTAATTCCCAGGGAACTTAGCAGACATGTTGTCCCTAATGGGGCTGAAAAGAGGCGAAGGCAAAAAGGTAGGAAATTAGGTCCTCTGGGAAACTTGAGATGGGTTAGAGTCTCTGGAGGTTTAGGGGGTCTCGCTTTCTCCTGTTGCTTGCCCAGCACTCACTGAGGACCTCTTCTACTTGGAGCACCACGGGGAGACTCCACCCTCATCTCTTTCTAACCCTGGTTTCTAAGAGCTTGACACACTAAGTTAATCAGCATGGAAGTTGCGACGAGCTTTGTTCCCTGCAAAATTTGAACTGCTATAACCTATACCGCTTGAATGTTAAGATAATAGTTGGTGGAACCTGATAGAGATCTGGGGTCTGAGTTTAGAAGAGTTAGCAGGTTGGGAATGTAAAAGCAGAGAAAATGGTACGATTTCCTCATTGCACCTGTAGGCATCCTAAGGCTGTTAGGTGCGGCCTCTACCCTTGTGTTGGCTTGATGAAGAAAGGTGGTTTCCACCACCTGCCCCTGGGCCCAAGGCGGAATGGCGTGGTGCCCTCTGCTACAGTAAAGTGGAGGTGTTCCAGGATGACAGCTTCAGCCCCGCCATTGTTAGCTTCCCGTAGCCTCGTGGCAGTGGGGTGTTCAAGTGCAGTTGCACATCCTCGGGGAGTAGGGAAGGCCAGCCCTGGCCAGTGGAGGAGCCAGGAGAAGTGCCGCCCGCCCTGGAGGGCGCCGACTCCCTGCTTGTGGGAAGGACAGCCTAGGGGGAAAGCCTTAGCCGCTGTGCTTCCAGGTACCTGTGGGCCCTACTTGGAGAATATCTGAAACGGGGTGTGGGTTATCGTGTCTGCTCTCTCTGTTGAAAAGCTTTTGATCTGAATGTGCTGTTGTGTTTTTTTGTCTCTGGTTTGCCAGGGCCTGGGAGGAGTTTCATGGCCTGGTGAACAGCAGCGGCCGCTGATCGGACGCTCCCCCTCTGTTTCTCACACTCAGGGTAGGGCCTTGTCTATCTTCTCTGTAACCCTGTGCCATACCTCTCAGCCATAGGACCCCCTCCCCTGGTGGGCACCCTTTTCCCATTTACCCCAGCCTGACCTCTGTCAACACTGAGCCCTCTGCAGATTCAGAGAAGAACCTGAGTCCGGAGCTCACGGCGCTCTCCCAGCCGGCTTGCGTGACCTTACCGTACCTCCGTTTTCTCACTGGAAAATGAGGCCACATGGACTAGAAGATCTCTCAGGTGGCTTTTGAGGCCAGCCTTTCGTGATTAGACGTCTGCCACAGAGCTTTGCGTTTGCCCGGCGTGGCCATTTTAAGCTGTCCTGTGACTCACGGGGCTGCTCCACAGGCCCAGCTGCGGGCGAGGGAGAGGTGTCTCTTATTCGTGGTTGGTGGTGGTTGTCAGGCTGAGGAAATAGGGACGTAAACTCGGGGCTTCAGCCCTGAAAGTCACCTGGGGGTAGATTTCAGAGCCGTGTAAGGGACCTGGTGTCAGGCCGTGCTGCAGCTGGACCATCACGTTTTCCTGGTGGGGCGAGGCTCAGGGATCTCCAAGGTAGGGTCAGTGAGAGCAGACACTTGAAGGATATTTGTATCTCAGTTCAGAGGGTTCCGAGTCCATGTCTGTCTTTTTAGCAGAGGGAATTGGGTAAATATATTCTGAATGAAACAGATGAGGTGGGAGCGTATTCCTGACCATCCACTGCCCCCATCCCCACCCCAATCTCTAAGAAATAGAGTATTTCTGAAACTGGAACAGAGCTGTCAACTGAGGTAGGTGTTTGAGAGTTCCCCTTTTCCAGGAGGGAAAGGAGGTGTTTTCAAAAACAGAAGACCCGCCCCCCTCTGACAGGCCAGCAGAGAGGATGGCCCTGGAGGGACAGTGCAGGCAGCCAGGGTCTGAGTGCTCTGTGGAGCCCTTAGTGCCTGCACACACACAGGGTGCCACCCATATCGGCCAAGGAGGCAGACCAAGGGAGCACCTCACGTTTCAGGGGTTCCACTGCTTGAAGCCCAGCCGTGGACATCTGAGAGGGTGCCAGGGTCCAAACAGAAGCGTTCCAACAGTCTTGAAGAGGACTTCATGCCCCGTCTCTGCTGACTTCTTGCTTGAGTGAAGGATGTGTTCTAGAAAGATGCACACCCAGCTCATTTTTACGTTTGAGCTGCCGTTGTGGAGCCTTTGACCCTTCAGCCTTCTCCCCCCATGCCCAAGTAGATCATGATCTATGAAGAAATTTGGTAGAAAAACTCTGATTTAAATAATTCTTTTAGAATCACAAATGCTTCTCCTCAATTTAGTTGATATTTTATGCTGTTAAACAAGGCAGCTAATATCTTAGGACCATTTCCTTTGGCCTCCATTGCAAATAAGTGTTGTTCTTTAACTGGGGCTTCAGTACAAGTCCCAGTTCGCTGCTGGCAGAGGATTTTGGTTACTTTACAAGTCTGGCCGGCATGTGGAGAGCAGGATCTTTGGTTTGGGAGTGAGGTTGTCAGTGGTCACTCGGTGGGAGATTAGAGGTTGAAATTTGCCCCCGTCCCCCCGTCCCCCCGTCCCTAGAAAGGATTTGCAGGTGTATTTAACATGCAGGGAGAGAAGAGGAAGCTGGCACCAGCCTGGGGGTGGACAGCTGGCAGCCAGAGAGTGTGCCCTGAAGGCTCCAGCGCCCTTAAATGTGTAGGCAGGTGGGTGAATGCCACTTCAGAGCTGACACTCAGGGGGGTTCCCACCTTGGGTAACTCCCAGCTTTTACTTGAGGACCTGGAATCACTCTGGGACCCCTGCAGGGCCTTGCACTGTGGAGGGTAGCTCAGAGGAGGGCGGGGGCATTCTTTGAGTGACCGGCTGCCCCTCTGTCATTCACCTCAGGAGTTAACTTCTGCCTTAGCTCATGGTTTCCAGAGTTTGAACCTATTGTCCATTTCCCTAGAAGAGATGGTTTCGAGACAGAGCAGATTAGAAACCTGTTCCAGAGTATTTGGGTACCAGTTTTCCCCAAGATACCTGGGAATGTGATGTTGGAAGCCAGTTTGGACGGGCTCTCTGGTGTTTCTGAGGCCCCGTCATCAGGACAGAGGGAAAACAGCAGAGAAAGAATCCTCCTGTGGCTTCCTTTGGGGCCTCAGCCCCTGGGTCCTACTGAGTACCCTGGGCACAGCCATCACACACTGCAAGGGGGCTAGCTTTCAGAAGTCACCCTGGATTTTCTGAATTTTAGTTTGCTTTTAAAAGAACAAGATCCCGTCTTTTAACAGCAGTATCAGCCTGTGGCCTCTGCCTGCTGTCCCCATTCCTCCTTCCCTGTCCCTGGGTCTCTGCATACTGCAGCCTGGAGTGAGGGGCAGGGTCGAAGGTTCGTGCCCAGGTGGTGGGGGTGAAGAGATTCCTCAGACTTGATGGTATCGAGCTGTTCTCAACCCACTTTCTGTAGAAAGGCTGGACCAAATCCAGAGGACCCCATGCCACCAGCCTGCTGCAGCCTGTCCTTGTCGGGAGTGTGTCGTGCCCCCCAAACTGGCAGACTTCAGCGGAGTCTCCGGGCTCTTCTGCTCCCTCTACTCTTCCATTTTGCAAAGGGACATTAGAACAGCTGTGTCTCAGTCATCTAGTGCTGCTATAACAGAAACACCACAAGTGGATGGTTTTAACGAAGAGAAGTTTATTTCCTCACAGTCAAAGCAGGCTAAAAGTCCAAATTCAGGGTGTCAGCTCCAGGGGAAGGCTTTCTCTCTCTCGGCCTTCTCATCAGTGTTCCCCCGGACTAGGAGCTTCTCTGCGCAGGGACCCCGGTCCAAAGGACGCGCTCTGCTCCCAGCACTGCTTCCTTGATGGTATGAGGTCCCCCTGTCTCACTGCTTACTTCTGTCTTATATCTCAAGAGATTGCCTCAGGACACAATCCAGTCTTGCAGATCAGGTCCTGCCTTACTAACACAACTGCCACCCATCCTCCCTCATTAACATCATACAGAGGCAGGTTTACAACATACAGGAAAATCACACAGTACCAGGAATCATGGCCTAGCCAAATTGATACACACATTTTTTGGGGGACATAATTCAAACCATGACAAACTGTGACTTGTTAGATTGTCTGACCACAAAGGGATCTGTGCTAATAGGGGTAAACATTAAATACCTAGATGAGATAGTGTTCTAGAGCTCTTCATTTTCCTGTCAAAGAGAGGAGAATTTTCTGTGTTGGGCCTACCCCCAGCACAGGCCCAGAATTCTTCCAAAAGATAAGACAACTTGCTTCTGGTGATGACCTGCCCCGAAAATTCCCTTCTTTCCATCACTGAACAGCTGAAAGGGCTGAATCAGATACTTGCCTACCCTCCCCCGTGCTCCAAGATAGAGAACTCACTCAGTTGGCAGAAAAGTCTGGTTCCACCTTCCATACCCGCCTTCCTCTTCACTTTTCTTAGCCAGTTGCTGTATGGGGCTACAGGTGGAGCTGAGCAAAGGTCCGACCTTTCGTCATCACTTTTTCTTAGAGGGACGCAGGGTAGAGTGTCTTCTGGGATGCAGGCTCAATAGAACAGTACATCGTCCCCATGGGGGCTAGCCGTTACACACACGTCAGTTATACCTGCTTCCTCTGCTTTGTAAGCAGATAAGTTCCTTCTCCTCCTTTGGTGGCTACTCAGAGTGTACAGCACCTCAGAGGGATCTGTCCTTTCGAAAGAGTTACTTATAGTGTTGGCCTTAAAAAAAAAAAAAAAGACAGTCACCCCATTCAGTCACCCCATCTCTCTGTTCTGCCCTCAGCCCCTCTGATGGGAATGGTAGGACGTGCCCGGTAGCCATTGACAACTGAGCCCATGGTTAGGAATGCCAGTTAGGAAAATGCCAGTGAGCTTTTGAGATAAATCCATTTCCTTCCCAAGCCCGAGTTCACCTGCACAGTGTCCGAGAGCCTCCCAGTGTGCCTGTGGACAGCCATTTACTCCGTGAGCGGGGCTATCGTTCTGTCAGCTCGCCCCTGTTGGGGAGGAGAACCTGCTAGCGGTAGCAGGAGGACACTGCTGTTTGGCTGGGCCGAGCATGGTCTGTCGTCAGTAGTTATTTACTCAGGACCGTTTGCCGTATGCCCAGTCATTTGTAGCAGTTTTAAGGTAGGTCAGTTAAAGCCAGAGTTTCTAAAATGTCCTTTTAAAATGAAAATGAATAATGATTCCAGCATCCAGGTTAATGAGAAGTTCTGCTTCAAAATTTTCAGGCAAATTTAAGTCTTAGCTCCCGGCTAGTGCAATAGACTAGGCGATCTTTAACGCGCCATCCAGCCCTGGGATTTGAGGTTCATGTGGGATGCAAACCACTAAGAAGTCATTGGTTTTCTTTTGTTTTTTTGCCTGTCCAGTCAGCTCTGACTCATGGTGACCCCTTGTGTGTCAGAGTAGAACTGTGCCCCACAGGGTTTTGTTCGTTTGTTTTTTAAATTTATTTTTTTTGAGAGTATACGCAGCAAAACATACCAATCCAGCAGTTTCTACATGTACAGCTCAGCGACACTGATGACGTCCTTTCAAGTTGTGTCGCCATTCGCACCCTCCTTTTCTGAGTTGTTCCCGGTAACATAATCTCACCACACCCTATCAGTTTCATCCCATATAAATGGCTCTTAAAAGAGCACAATGCTCCAGGCAGACATTTGTTACTAATTAAACTAAACTATTGTTTGGTTTTAGGAAGACTTGAGGGGTTATTTTTGGTTTAAGGTTAAAAGATTATCTCAGGACAGTAGTTTCGAGAGTTCATCCAGCCTCCATAGCTCCATAAAGTCTGGATTCCATGAGAATTTGAAATTCTGTTTTACATTTTCCCTCTTTCCATCAGGATTCTTCTATAGAATATTTGATCAGAATGTTCAGTAATGGTAGCCAGGCACCATCCAGTTCTCGTCTCATGGCAAAGGAGGCATTTGTTCATGGAGACAATTAGCCACAAAGCCATCGGCTTTTTAATGTGACCAGGAGAGCTTACTATTGGACGGTCAAACCTGTCTGCACCCAGTAGAAGGCAACAAAGGGAACACTGTTTACAGTCAGTCCCCAACCCTGCCCAGCACACACATGCGCACACACCCTTCTCTTTCAAGAATTATAGCCCAGTTTCCAAAGTGAAAAGGGTCCCCAGATTTCACCTAGAATATCCTCTCCTTTTGTAAGCAGCTAAGTTAAGTGTTTATGTTGGATTGGTTAATTGGTTGTTTTGAATAGGTAACACAATCAAATGGTTAAAAAAAAAATTTTAAGCATGTGTGTTAAAATGTCTCCCACGCTTTTACTCCAGCTTTTACTCCATCTGCGTAGTTTCCACTTTGCCTCCCCGCCCCCGTCGCTCCTGGTAACCACTGGTGTTGGTTGGTTGTGTATTCTTACGTTTCTTCATGTATATATGAACAAATGTGAACATAAAACCTTATCCCCTTCCTCCACTTACACACAAGGTAGCTGACTATATACGCACACTGTCTTTAACTTACCAGTATGTTTTGCAGCTCTTTCTATGTTGATAGAGAGCTTTTTCATTTTTATTTTTATGAATTGTTTTTAAGCCGCATAGTGTCACATTGTCTGAATGTGCCATAGCCTTAATATCTAACCAGTCCCCTATCAATTTGCATTTGGGTTGCTTCTGATCTTTTGCTGTTGAAGGGACTTGGGGAGCAGGTTGCTGTTTTGACACTAGATTAGAAAGGAGGGAAAATGCTGGGGTGTGTCATGGGGCCCTCGAGCCTTGTGTATGTGTGGTTGTATGGAGATGACCTGTGTATTAAATGCTCCATTTTCTCCCATTTTTTTCTTTCAGGGACAATTCAAGCTTTCGAAATACAAAAATCACATTGTGAAAGTACACAAGCTGGCAATAATCCTTTTCTGTGTGTGTGTGTGCGTGTGTCCGCAACGGATGAGAGGTCTCCGGCCAGTCCTCCCATCTGTTCCCTGAAGGGACGGCCTGAGCCGTGGGCTCCCGTTTTGCACTCACTCCTGGAGGAGGGATTCCACTAGACGCCTCCAGCATCGCTGACTTTATACAGTGGAGAAACGGAAAACGCGACTTTGTAATAGACACACTTGGTTTTTTAATGGGGATCGTGGGGGGAGTCCAGCCTTTCATTTGCTGTATGCTGTCCAGACGCTGCCAGGCCTTCTGTGCTTTCATACTGTGCGAGGGGTCGTGACCCCGCGTGTGCGCCAGCGCTGTCACTGAGACTTACCAGTATTAGGAATGTCTGTGCACCCAGGAAAAGCTTTTTGTTGGAGAGTCCGGAATAGCTGTAAATGCTCTCTCGTAGCTCTACCATTAAATTATTCGGACATTTTGTTTCTTTCTCTCCCCTCTCCCCCAGCCCTGCCACTTTCTGAACACGTGTCACTGGTGTGCTGGCTGTCCAGGATTTTGTGTTGTCTCCTGCCTTATGCCCTCCAGTCTTCCCGCCTGTGGCACTCTCTCCTTCCTTCATAGGCACTGCCGCACTTAGAATTTTAATCCAGTGGGCCACACTGGGTTCACTGAGGCAGCTTAGAAGGTATGCCTCATTAAATGAAACTGGCACAGAACCCAATTTGATTTAGGTGATGATATACGTTCCCAGTGGAGGATTTGGAGCAGAGGGCAACGACTGCAATCGTTTTCCCACGCGAGCAGGGCCTGGGGTCAGGCCCGTCTCTGGGCTCTTGCATGCCTCGTGTTGAGAAAGGGAAGTGAAGTGGCTGTTCCAAGTGTGTTCGCGCTTACCATGATAAATCCTGGTCCAGAAACTGGGACATTGGAGAAAAGGTGACCTGGATGGATGGCCTTGTATGCATGGCGGCGCCTGTCTGCAGTGGTTGGGAAGCCTGCTCTGTTTTATCGCCTGTATGTATGTTGGCAGTGTATGCTGACCTCTGATGTCTGGACAGGCACCTCTTGAAGGCTGCTGCAGGCGTGCTTTAGGAATGGCCCGTCACTCAGAGAAGCTGGCTGATCTGGTTCCAGGACTGAAGTCAGGCCAGCAGAGTAGCTAGGATTCAGAGAAGTCACAAGGAGGAGTCCGGCAGCAACCTCCAAGTAGCACTGTCTTACTTGGCTCTTGTGAGCAAAGATTGCAGTACCTTAAATTAAGGCCTGTCTTTAAAACATATCCTTGATGGCTAGGGGGCTCCTTAGCCACCTGGTCTCAGTGAAATCATATGAGAGTAATAAGCATTTCTTTCCTTACTGTATTTATATTACTCTCTTCCTACTTTCCAGCTCCTGAACACCCTCTAGCTGCCACTGTTTTGGAGATGCTTTTCCTAAAAGAATAGGGGAGTACAGGGGCCAAAAGGGAGGTGCTTCCACTACAGGTGAAGTTAGGTTGGCTAGGAAGATCTCGCAGTGATTTAGACTCCTGGAATACAAAGAATGAATTTTGGTGTCCAGACAATTATGAAGGGCTTAGGCAAATATAGGAGCAACATTGGCTAAAACGGGAAGCAAAGGCAGCCTCCCAAGATTTGTTTAGACCCCAGCGAGGCCTTCACGTTTGCCTAAACTCAGATTTGCCATGAAATTTCCAAAGAGAGCAAACATTTGGGTTTGCCCTCTTCTGGCCGTCTACCTGACTCTGTGTGTGGGGTGGGGTGTGTGGGTGTGGGTGTGTATGTGTCCGTGAGTGAGGGTTTTGTCAGGTTCTGTGGTTTGCTGTATTGTCCATAGTTTGCTTTTTGTTGCGTTTGTTCAGGTTTTTGAGTCCTACGTTTTCTGGAGCTGCTATGTGTTCCCTTCCTCTTTCCCAGTGCTGTAATTTGGAAGTTGTCTTTCCCCATCACATACACAGACCCTGTGTTGGCTAGAACAGTGGCTCAGCCCTGCAGGCAGCATCTCACCCCAGTGTCCTCCCAGATACTCTGCCCAACCACTTCTCATGGGAGATTGAATAGTCAGCTTACCCAAACCACCCATTTTCCCAAACTAGCTGGAGAGGTCTTTTCATTTATTTTGACTCCGTGGGCCTCTGTTATGCTGAGATATGGCACAGTTATGGTCATAGGCCCCCCGTTTTGGAGACAAAGGGGAAAAGGCCTACGGGGCCAACCTAATAGGCAAGTGAGGGTGCCGCTGGCGGATGGGGAGTCCGTCTCCACTTTGCTCCGTCAGGGCTATTTTCCCATGACCCTTTTGCTGGGCTTTCCCATTGAAATTGCCCCCTACTCCTCTCCACTACTCTTCTCATCTTTCTATTCGTGCGTGCGTGCGTGCGTGTGTGTGTGTGTTTTCCCTGTGACACTGGCAGTGGCAGTAATTTCCCACCCAGAGAAAAGCTTGTGGTCCACGACGCTCCAAGAACGAATCTCCCCAGTTCGCCGTGGAGAAGGAGCGAAGGCTGTGCCGAGTGGTCAGTGTTGCACTTTCTGAGCAGTTGTCTACTGCGGTAATAAATAGAAACTGTCCGTGAGAACCAGCGTGTGGGCTCTTTATACAAGGGAGATGGGGTGCCGGGGGCTCGTGGCTGCTCATCCTGCCCTTCAGCGTATGGGTCTCTGTTTTAAGTGTATTCCAGAACAAAATGTGTGGAATAGTCCAGATAATGCCAGTATCATTGACATGAACTTATTCTGAAAATACTCCCTCACTGATATTAGCTCTTGTCAAAACACAATTTTAATACCAAAGTATAGTTGTTAATTTTAACTCTTCTCAACCTGGGGTAACGAATACTGGAATTGAAAGAGAATTTGATTCTGAAGTAAATCATTCCAGGCCTAAGATCGGAGCATTTTATTTAGACTGAGTAGCTTAGTCTGAAGATGGACGACAGATGGGGCGTGCTTATGACCAGTCCCATGTGAAATACCAATGGAGAAGAACACTTTACAGAGCCTCAGTTCTCATTGAAAAAGGATTTAAAACAATAATACCATCTTGAGACTCAGTTTTAATAGAAATTTCCTGTCTGTGCGTATCAGTCATGGTCCAAACAGGAGATAAGCCGTATGAATTATTTTACAGTATAAAGAATTGTTAACTCAGTAACTGAAAAGGCAAAAAGAAAACACCAGAATCAAGCTACAGGAAGAACTACCTCTCTGGATGGGTGCTGGTGTCTGAGGGGATAGTGAAGCTGCTTTGGAGAGTGTTGGTATGAGAACAAGCTACTGCAGGGTGAAGAAATGATGCCAAAGTAATGCTGGTGGGAACAGGAAGGAACGAGCCCTTTCTTCTTCCTCCAGCTTTGAAGCTTCCCTCAAGTGCCCCCATTTGAAAAATCCAACAGGATGCCAGCTGGCAAAGCAGAGATGTTTGCAGAGTTCCAGCCCCAGGATCACAAAGGAAGGTTATAAAGAGTGGGTGTGAAGCTGAGAGACAATAGCTTAATAACTGGTACAGTTCACCCCTTAGCTGCTCAGCGTCTACAGACACCCTTCTACACGAATGTGAATTTTTTAACTGAATTTTATTTTTTGTTGCTGAGACTATACGCAGTGGAATATACACCACAATTTCTACATGTACGATTCAATGACATCGATTACATTTTTTAAGTTGTGCAGTCATTCTCACCCTCTTTTTCCAAATTACTCCTCCCCCATTAACACGAGCTCTGCCGCATAAGTCTCCTATCTACCCTTTCAAGTTGCTGTTGTCAGTTTGATCCCATACAGATAGTTCTTAAAAAGAGCACAATGCTCAAGGCACTAGTTAAACAGTGAGAGCCCCGCCAAGGCTAGGACCTCAGGGATCTGGTCTCCCCTTCCCGAGCTGTTTCCTCAGGCCTGTTTGCCCTGCTCTCTGGCTCTCTGTGGCTAGTAGGCCCACAGTCCTGGCCACTCGTCCAAGCCCCATTGCTGGACTAATTACACTTCAGTTTACCCCAGGACACACCCACCCATGCCAGGCACAGCCTCTGTCCGCTGACCCAGATTCCACTTTACCACTTTGACTTCCAAGACCCTTCACAAAGGGTGGGGGCCGCTCCCTTCTGCTGATAGGCCCTGGTGGAGAGATGTCTCTCCTCCCCTTGGAGCAGTACCTCTGTGGTCTTGGAATCTCCTGAGGTGGCTTTGGCTGGCAGCCAAGGTTGAGACCACTGCCCTGGAGGGAGCCGCCCTCCCCCATCCCTCCTGCCCCTCGGTGTAGGCCCTGGCCTCCTTGGACAATCTGGAGCCCCAGCAGCTGCCCTCATCTGCTGTCTGTGCTCCTGCTGCTCCTTCTCCCACCTGCCCGTCCCCATGCCCTGTTGGGGAGTATCGCTTCACTGAGCCTGGCGCTGCTGAAGGACTGCCCACAGTTCATGGAATGGCCGGGTCCCCGGCTTTCCCAAAGCTACCCTCGCCGCTCTTCCTGCTCTGGCTCAGCTCATCTCCTGATAATGCCTTGTCTTCTCTTCACCTACCAACCCCTGCCCCTTCACATTGTGTCTCTTCTGGAGAGCCCTCCTGGTCCCACAGCACTAGGGACCTGAGACTGTGTCTGCTGGTCGCCTTGTCTGTCCCTCCTGCTGGGTGGCTCCATGATGGCAGAGGCCACGACCCCCTTGTCCCTGAGCAGGCCTGGCTTGGCGCAGGCATGGCCGATACTGGCTGCCCACAATTCGTCTGCCAAAAGTGGATTTACAAAACACCTTCTTCATGCTGCGCATGGATTTTGGTGGTTAATAGATTCTTCCGTTTGCAGGAGTTTCTCACGTGATTCGCTTGAAGTTTCCAGGTGTACAATCTTATTCTCCAAAAACAGTGGGAGTTTTACTTTCTCCTTTCCTGTTTTGACACCTCTGTTCTCTTCCTTTTGGAGCCCTGGTGGCACAGTGGTTAAGAGCTTGTCTGCTAACTAAAAAAACGTCAGCAATTTGAATCCACCAGCTGCTCCTTGGAAACCCTATGGGGCAGTTGTACTCTGTCCTGTAGGGTCACTATGAGTCAGAATCGACTTGATGGCAATGGGTTTGGGCTTGATTTTCTTTCTTTTGCCTAAATGCATTGGTTAGCACCTCTAGTACATTGTTAACTCATCCTGGCAATCATGTGATACTGGTAGCTCTGGTATTAGTCCTGTTCCTGACTTGGTGGAAATGCCTCTACTATTTCTCCATGAAATATGATACTAGCTTTGAACCTGAGACATATTTTATCCTGTTAAAGAGAGGAAAGGTGTGGAAGGGTTGTATGGGACAGTGTAGGAATGTACTGTCTTTTTTTAACTAGTCCCTAATATAATGAACATTTGGGTTCTTTCCAATCTTTTGCTGATAGAAGAAAACTTGCAGTGAGTAAGTTTGTATATGTACCCACGTTTTATACACGCAGAAGCATATCTGTAGGATAAATTCCCAGAGGTGGAATTTTGGGTTGGGTCACAGAGTAGATGCATTTGATAAATATTGTCAAATTGCTCCCCATAGGCGTTTGTTTGTTTCTCAGTGGGAATTTTAACAATTTATACTCTCACCAGCAATGTGTAAGAGTGCCCGTCTCCTCACAGCTCACCAAAAGAGTATATTATCAAGCTTGTAAATCTTTGTAATTCTGATCGGTAAAAAATAGTACATATATCAATGTTGTTTTCATTATAAGTGAGATTGAGTTTATTTTCATATATTGAAAAACAATTTAGGAGCCCTGGTATCACAACGGTTAAGTGCTTGGCTGCTAACTTAAATGTCAGGGTTTGAACCCATCAGTGGCTCCACTGGAAAGACCTGGATATCTGCTCCCGTAAAGATTACAGCCTAGAAAACCCTATGGGGCAGCTCTCCTCTGCCACAGGGGGTCACTATGAGTCAAAAATTGATTCAGTGGCACCCAACAACAACAAGAACACTTTGTATTTGCTTTGCTTTTCATATCCTTGGCCATTTTTCTATTGAGTTGTTAGTCTTTTTCTTATTGATTTCTAGGAGTTCTTTATATATTAAGGAGATTATCCCTTTGTGGTATGAGCTCATGGGCTTCCACCTTCTGGAGAAGAGCCTTCGGAGGGCACAGTTTTAAAGAAGTGCCATGTTAAGAGAGGCAGATGTGGAGCAGGAAAGGTCAAGGAACATGAAGGAGGGGAGACGCTGGGTGACCCATGATGTCTTCCAGGATTGATGACAGGTGTTGAAGCTCAAGAGAAGATCAAAAGCCGAGGTAAAGCTTGCCCACACCATTCCTTAGCTCAGCACTTCCCAGCCCCAACTTCACATTGTAAGGACAAGTGTCTGGACCCCTCCCAGACCGATCTCTGGGGGTGGGGCTCAGGCCTCAGTGATTCTGATGTTGGCTGGGGTTGTGAGTCACATCCTAACATAGGTCTCTTCATTTAACTTTCCACTGAAGAAGGGGAGCATGAATTGAACCAGACTGAGAGACCCTGTTGGTTCATCCTAACCACACGGATTCAAAACCGCTTCTTGATGCTTCACAACCACTACCATGAGCACCGAGTACAACGCTGATGGCCCAGACCAGGTCAGCCCTGACTTCCTGGCCCAGCTCTGTCCCTGTTCAGTGTAGATCCTGTGCAGACTCAAGTGGGTCTGGGATGAGCCTGCGCCCAGACGTGTCGTTTAGACAACATGTCACCTCATCTCAA